CACGCTAAAACAATTGCGAAGGTCATCCGGAATCCTGCCTGCGTGTCTATTATCATAGTGATTGCGTATTGACGAGGTCTTGCTTCTATGTCCATCAACTCGTACGAACAGATGGCCAATTGTTTTAGCGTGTTGAAAAAATGCCACAACAAGTTTGATTGTCTCATTAATGAGATGTTACTCATTAAACAAAATGGTTGATGCGATTTTCATGCTATTTCCCGCCAGAAAAACTCGGGCTTCCCGAAAGCGCAGTATCACGTATGCGCGATTTCCCGCCAAGAAAAGATGGCGTTTTCGGGTTACCTTGAGACTCCCTTCCCCCTGGCTCCTGTGCGGAAGGACGGACGCTCATATTACGAAATATAATTTTATTTCAAGAAACTGTATTTGGTTGCCTTCTATCGCTACGTTGTGTTTCTAGATAATTTGAGCAATTTTTGTTCGATATATCCTAGTATTATAGCGGAGCTCCGGCGGCCCCAAGGGCCGCCAAGCGGAGCCCCATAGTCATGTGGGAAAGAAAAGGAAACCCAAGAGTTCATTTTCTCATGGTTATCATGGCTAGCGATATCGCTCGTGAACGCGTACGCACGACGACGGCGACGACGGAGTCGCGCAACATGGCGGCCATATTCCAAATGATAGCGGAGCTCCGGCGGCCCGAAGGGTCGCCAAACGGAGCCCCACACCCATATAGGAAAGAAAAGGAAACCCATGAGTTGATTTTCTCATGGTTACCATGGCTAGCGGTATTGCTCGTGGGCGCGTACGCACGACGGCGACGGCGACGGCGACGGCGACGACGACGGAGTCGCGCAACATGGCGTCCATACTCCAAATAATAAGTTGACAGAGACATGCAGCCTTGATTTAACGTGTGCTTCTTTGATATTGGACATCCATGTTATGATCAATTGACACCTGTCAAAAACAAGGTATCCGCTGACCAGTGTCACGTGACCATATCGCGTGTTCAAGTTTACAGCTCTCGAGGTCGCGTGTTTTTTAAGTTGACCGCTGACCAAAAGCTGGTTTTCGATTGGATCGCGGGCTCATGTCAGGTTAACTTGTTGAAAACAGGGCAGGATTTTTTGGAAGCCGGCTAATGTTAACCCAGGATTAAAAGTTAACCAAATTATAACTTTTTCTTCTATACAAAATTTTTTTGCTGCTTTGTTCTGTGTATAGATTATTAAAACTCAAAACAGAAGGCCAAATAATATACAGAAAATCTCACCGCAAAGTTACAAAACTCAAATCAAAATCGTACCTTTTCCTGAGTTAGCTTAATCGGGCTCTGAACAACCCACCCAAGGAGCCCCGCTTTTAGGCTGGCCTAAATCTATATCTTATAGATCAGAAGCAAGGTAGGGAATGACGGCAAGTCAACACGAGGTTCCAGCCTTCGGAAATTACTTGAATTTTAATATTAAAAAGGCCCTCCTACCATTCTACTTCGTCATCCTCATAAGGCAAGAGTTTAACAACATTTCTGTAAAATGAAACATACCTCATTTTTTTATGGAAATAACAAGACTAACAAGAAGGGGCAAAATTTACTGTCAACTTCCCTATCTTTTGCATTATAAGATTTATTGTTTTTTCGAAAGTATACAAAAAAAGATATACTCCCAGTGCCTGTGGTGTCTGTGTATTGGTTGCACAAATTAGACCATGAGCAGCCCCTTTTTATTTCTGGTTCCTCCTTCCATGGTCAGTTGGAGGTTGCAAAATTGAATGTCAGAGAATTCGGGAAATTTTCTAACTCTCAAGCCCTTGCAAGGATAGCGGAGCGTATTTTGAATTGGGAGGGGGGGGGGCCCCTTCAAGCGAGCGCCAGAGGCCCTAACTTGTAGGGGGTCTGGAGATATTTGTAAAAGTATTATTTTACGTATTTTTTGCTTGAAATTGAGGGGGGGGGGGCACCCCTAGCTCCCCCCGGCTCCATTGTCCCTGCCTTGATGCCAAGTAAAGTTTTCACAATGTTTAGTTACTACAGATTTTTAATGGAACACATACAAAGTACATCGGGCTCACAGTTTACTTGTGTACCTCTTAAAGCAGTTTTCAATTAAGTGTCATAAAACCAAAACCAAGGTAATCACTCTGGAAAATCACAAGGGACACAAACCATGCACAGACAATCCAATGAACCAATCAAAACTCATAGTAAACACAAGTAGCTGACACGAAGCACAGGAAAATGTGCACCAGCGAGCCATGGTTTTGTTTTACAGTACTTCTTCAAAAAGTGGCACAAATTTAGCCAATCGTGAAGGGTAACAATGCAATACCAACTTTTCAACACTCAAGTGAAAACAGTTCCATTTTAAAGGTGTATAGTTATGTCATTGCCAAGGAGTTCCAAAGTATCAGGCTGCATCCAGCCATGGTCGAGAGGACAGTAAGAGCTATGATAGGCCAACTGTGTTCAATTTGTCCAACAGGAACATGGAAAACAACGGGTATGTCAGATTGTAACGTGTCCTATAGTGTAAAAAAAACCCCAAAAATTAGATAAATTATCAACCAAAAAATAGTATTCAAAGAAGAAATTGATCTCTAATTTTGGAGCTTAATACTACATAGGACCTCATAGGATGGAGAAATAAGCTATATATGTTGGCTGTTTGATGCTGCTTTTGTGCTCCTCACAAAATACCTTGTTAACTGAATTTAGGGGGACCCAATCACAGCTTGGCATTCCCTTTGCATTACAAGGAGCTTTGATTGGTGGAGTTCCACACTCAAGTGCAGGAGAGGTAACTCCTGTAAGAGAGAAATGAAGAATAAGAAAACAAGAATGCAGGAAGGCAATATTATTGGTTTTTGCAGGCAGGCAAAACTTTTTGAACGGAACTTGTTCAGCAAAAAATACCTTTTTTTCCAGATGGTCAAACCAGGTGGGCTAGATTATCTGCACAGCCCGTCAGTTAGACTGCTGGCAGACTGCTTAGGGTCCTGCCTGATTTTGAGGGAGAAAAAGACTGCCAGCAGTTTACTGGCCAATTTTCCCTGTGTTATGTTATTGGTTGCACTTTACTAAGTTACAATTTCCTCCTCCCCTATTTCGGGGCATGGTAGACAGTTGTATGCTCATGGTTAAAATAAAACAACTTTACAGCATGTTGCCAGAGTTAACTTACCATTACATCTTCCAAAGACCTTTGGAGAAGAAAGTGACACTGAAGCAAATTTGGTGCCAATAGCAGCTTGGTGATACCTTAGATGAACTGGAATGGTAATATTTGCACTCATAGTCTTCAGTCTACAGAGAAATTGAATATTTCTATCACAATCTACAGAGTGCTCTATGTTTCACTGCTTTCATACACTAATCTAGGTTTATGGGGAAAGGCAAGAAGCAGCAGGTAATGCTTATACCTCAGATAAATTCTGGGAAGGTGACTCTCTCAGGGAAGTCTCAAATAAGTGTGGGTGTGGTTTGCCATTACTTGATTTTAACCCACAAAAAATGACAACCATCCTCATCAGGTCCACATGGGGACTCTCCCCACATGGCTGAGAGCAAATTACACGTGGTAAAAGTTGAAAGTGATTTCTTCTTGCTCAGTAGGGTGGACTGAGAATAAACTTTTGGCAAAAACCCTAGGCTATGTATTATAATTGCCCCATTTGTTTAATAAATGATCTAGCCTTTGTGACATTTTGTAATCAACTGGCCTGAGTCTGCAGTTTCAGAAAGGTCAGTGGGTTGAGTTGTGACGACAGTTCATGTGAACTATTTGTACATCTTACCTAACCTGATTAACAGATGGTCCAGGTTGCTCGCAGCCATGTGCTCTCCATAGCACATGTCCACAAGCAACCTGGACCATCAGAGAATCAGGCTACATCTTACCTGACTCACTGATGGTCTAAAGGCAAAACAAAAATAACTTAAAGTGCAACATTACATTGTTCAGTTTCTAAGTTGGTTGGAAAGCTAAAATGTATAACTTACCTGTAGTCAATGGCTATCTTGGGAAATACAAAGATCTTATGTGACGAAGCATGGTGAGCCAATGATTCAACATTTATTGTCTCTGTTGTTAACACCTGAGAAATAATAATAAACAAAATGGAATATACTGATCTTAATCAAATGGTGTCTAGCAATGCCATTGTAATTTAAAAATCAAGTTCCATTCAATCGCATCAGCTTTAGGTAAGCATTTTGTTATGATGAATGAAGTCCAGTGTCAAAATTTGAGATCCATGATACAGTAATATTACTCTTCTTAATACTTAATTACCTTATTTTTTCGCAAATGAGTGCACATTGGAATTTAAGGTAGAAAAGGCAGAAAAGAAGAACAATCTTTGCACTGTAACTGTCATTCCCATAGTGTCTTGTTTTTTGCAATAATATGTGGCCCATCTGTTCAGTTTTGTTCACTCAATAGTAAAGTGGCGGTGAGGAGTCCCATTCAAAAGGACAGGAGTGCTCATCATATCTTTTAAGGGTTAAAAATCACAGTGGTTTTGGTGCCTCTTAGGATGATCAGCCTTAAATGGTCCTCAGCTAGAGCTTTCGTGGTACCTTTTAGAGTACTGAGCCAAAAAATATATGACAGAAGATATTTGACAATCAACTTATTTTTAACTTTGTCTCATTTACACCGAAAGTGCTAGTTAAAATGTTATCAACGAGTGATAGCTAGTGTAGCATAGCTAGAATGAGTTATAACAGTTAGTTGGGAAAGAAATAATTCACTCAGTCAGTCAATAGGTTGTAAACAATTTTTTGATGGTAATTCTGCTGACCAGGGTATTTTACGAGAGGCCAACCATTGTGAACAGAATGACTAACAAGGCAATAAACTGATCTTTCGCGTTTGGAGTTGAACAAGTGCACCCAAATTAAAGACTGTTTGGTATGCAACAAACATTCATCCAAATATTCCCTGACTGAAACCTTACTACTGTGCCACCCTATAACAATGCATTAGCCATAAGGAAATAAAGCTATTAATTCATCACAGTTTGGCTGAAACCGCTCATTGATTGATGATTACCGCAGGCTTAAATGATTCGCACAGCGAGCTACTATGAATTCAAATGTTGTTTTCTACTGGAAATCACTCAATATGCTAACCAAAGGACTTGGTTTACTGGCCATGCCATCTATTCATGGATATTTTGGACGCTGGATGGGTTTTTCATTCTCGCCCTCCACTGAGGTCAGGAGATCACTGGGTTCGTACTCTTGCTCATAAAAGTCACCTGACTACAAAGCACATGGTTTGTTCTAAAACTAGGATTCATCAATTTGGTCAGTTTGGAACCTTCTTTTGTACAAGTAATTTCTATCCCCTGATTCAGTGTTTTTGTTTTAGTTCAATAAGGGAACAAAGATGTTTGAAATAACTCAAGTCCTAGGACAGAAACGTCAATATCAGAATAGCCCTTGACTTGACAGGGTAATTGTAAAGGAAAGGAGATGTAGAGTAAATGTGGCTTTAGTCTCATTTGAAAGAAAATAAGATATCTGTAATTAAGTACTGTGTAAATAACACATTCAGTTTCTTGTTAGAACTCATTACAGTTGGAATGATCAAAACAGCCCAAGTGTTCCAACTAAATAAACTTTAAGATTAATGGAAAATTAATGATTGCTGTTAAATTCATGCTGTGTCACGGGGCTGTGACAAACTCCTTAAAATCTCTTTGACCTCCCTAAGCATCCTTGTAATAACATGACCATTTCAAATATCACGAGTTGGCTTAAAAGGCCTTTTGATTTTAGAATTGGTACCTCTTAGGGTTAAAAAAATTCAAGCCATGCCCACAAAACAGGATCTTGGTACTTCCATAGTTAATAGAGGGGAAAGTTCTTTGTTATATGTTTTTGTTCTCTTTTTAGGCCTTGACCATGCACAAAACACAATAGTTGTTTACTACTGACCGAGGAACCAACCAATGGAAACGTTTTGATTACGTACTCATGCATAGTGCATGAATGTAAAACAAAAGATCGTCCACAGTCATGGATCTTCCAACATAAATCTTGTCATCTTTGTTTGCTACTTTGATGTTTGCCGGGCTTCATAACCATTCCACTCTATTAACTATGGTACTTATTAGGGGTTCTTTTCAAAATTTCCAACAAGCCTCTCCTTCCTTTTCATATGGGATTTCCCCCAGATAGTGAAGCAACTATGAAGGAGGCAGGAAATAACCTATGCTTTGGGTTGAATCTGACCTCAGGACCACCAAACTCTACTTCATTCTTGATCTGATCTGGGTCAACGTAAATGCCACTTGGAAAACGTTCTACCAGCAAGAGCTGGCAATCCAGCTGATTAGAATCGTCATCAAAATTGCTCAGAATGTCCCACTCCACAAAGGTAACCAGATCTCTACAAATAAAAACAAGGATTTTACTAAATACATTTCATACACAAAATAAAAAACACATTAATACTTGTGCATTAAGAACTTCAAAATGTATCTCAAAACGTACCTGTGAAACCCTGGCTTGTTGTGTTTTCTCTCCACAAGTATCTGGCCACAAGATCTCTTGTCACTCGATAAGCAAGACTGAAAAAGTAAAACGATAATACCAGTAGTGGACAAAACGTTTTTTCCTGGAACGTTCCTGCAGCAAAATTTAGGGAACATTTACGACAGTTTCGAACGCCAAACGAACGCGCCGGAAGCCTGAAGGAGATTCCCTTGATTATGCGCGAAGAGATACCACGCATACAGGTAATGCGGAATTCTCTGACCAGATCAGCAGGCTCACAGTCTCCACGTGCAAAATGGCGGACCTCAGAGAACCTTTCGAACTTTGTAGAGTTTTGGAAAACGGCTCGCTTATTGGAATATCAAGACACGCTGGTGGTGATAATGTTCTAATTACATTTAGAGATAGAGGAGTTGTTGCTTATAACGTAAGTAATAAAGCATTTGTAAGAAAAAAAGTCGAAACTTTCAAGATTGTACACAATTTATCCAACTACATGTATGTAAACACGAGTTTTGCTGTTGAGCAAGATCTTAATTATTAAGTTCACATGTTATCGTACAGCTTCAACATCAGAAGCTTATTAACAACTGGTCAGTGGAACAAAGAAATGAAGTAACAAGTGCTGCCGTTCATAATCCGGCGGATGAAACTTTCTTAATGGCTGTAAACAAGACGGTAAGAAACTTACACGATCATGTTAAGCTTATGTAAGTTTAATAATTTTTCAGACGCATTTGTGACACATAGGTCTCTCTAATGTAGAAGTATGTCATCCTGACTATCTTTTAGTGTATACATCTTGAGAGCAAAACACCAGTTGCTGCAGCTGATTTTGACACACTGGAAACCAGATCCAAAAGTACAATAATGTAGCATTGATTCTGAGAAAAGTCACTGGTAACATGCAGTGTATGTACCTCGGGCAAGGGGGAGGGGGGGACTTCCATGGGAAATGCTCATCATCTCTCTTAGGGGTATAAATCAAGGATTCTGGTCTCACTTAAAGTGTTCTTGACAAAACAGCACTATTCTTTGCTGTGGTATCTTTTAAGAGTCAAAGAAAGTTTGAACCATGCCCAGATTGGTGTCCTTTAGGGATTTAATAAAAATATTTTTATGAGCATCCCGACCATTTCATATGGGAGTCACCCCTGGGGTATGTACATGTAGCTCTATAAAGAAGTTTTTTTTCCGGACAACAATCTTTAACAACAAAAACAACGATCTTTATTTGTGCTCCAAGCAACAACCAATCAGGGACCTTTCACATATTTCAATTATTATTTATAGCTGGCTAATAACCTAGTATGAAAATTTTTGGGTTAAATCTCATAGTCCAATCTCAAAGATCCTACCCTAAAAGAAATCTTAACTTAAGGAGATTGCAAATTCCATGTAAAGAGGGTAGTGAATAGAAGAATTAATATGAAACTGATGGAGAAACTATGCTTGGGAGGGAGATGCCCAATATATATATATGCAGGCTGTGGGTATGTCCAACTCTGAGCTTTATCAAACTACACGCATTTTGTTGTTTGTGTTAAGCATTTAAGTTGGTAAAATATATGTATTTTCCATAGCTTAAATTTAGTTTCTTCCCGCCTTTTTTTCAGGAAATTTTTATATGGAAAGAAACAGATTCTGATTTGAAATCATGCCAACAAATGCAAGTAAGATTGTTTGAAATGTATGACAATTTGCACTTATATTGAGAACTACAGTGCTGTAAATAATTTTGCTTCTTGTTGACTTGATGGATGACATAAGGCCAAATTTAGTACTGCTGTTGGGTAATTGACAAATGTGTCAATTTTATTTATCAATATCCCACAGCTCAATATCTTCTTGTTATGAGCCACTTGGTCATACTAAAACAACTTACAAACAGCTTGATCTCAGCTCTTGGGGACTTAATGCGCTTGTAAGTGGCAAGGAGCATAAGATTAGCCAGTAGAAATCCAACCTACTTTGAAAGCTTGTTTTCATTTTTTTCTCTGTCAGTGTTAGGGAATTTGTTGAGAATTAAGTCTCTTGTGTTTGATACACATGTATGTTCTTCTCAAACTCATTAATAATTCATCAAGTTAAAAAATCACAACCGTGAAGGAGGTTTGGATACCTGGTCTCAATTAGCATAGGTTTTGATGATTTTATTTCTCCGTTTACTCCTTAGTTTTTCTTTTGATTGAGAAGATCTATCAAACTTCATTGGCTATCCAAACACCTTGAATTTCATCAAAAATACTCAACTGGGTGCTGTTTTTTCGACTCTCTTCTTGGTGTTTGGATATCCTGATGAAACACTTGTCTGTTGTGTTTGATATATTACCTAATGTAAAATGGCATTATATGTTTGGAATTAATCTTGAAGTTGTTTTCTGCATTTCAGTCTGACAAGAATATCTTCAGCTTTCATGTATGGAACAACCTACAAAGCCATCCACTTGTTATATTTGAAGATGGCTCTTCATTGTTTTTGTCAGATTTGCTAAATACCAGTGAAAACAGGAAAGTGAAAAGAAGGAAAAGTACAAAGTCTTCACAAGAGTAAGATCTATCGCCAAATAATCTTTGATCAGTTCTTATTCTGCCAAGGGATGTAAAAGGCCTCATGAAGTAAATTTTTAAGTTGCCTGCAGCATAGTACATCCAGGATGATGCTTTAATGTTATGGTCCAGAAAATCCCACTTTTTGCACGCTGTGAATAGAACATAGTTATATTGGTAATGATCACCAGCATGAAATCTATCATTAACTGTAGATTTCCGTGTGACTAGCATACGAGTTCAAGTATTGATGATAAAAACTAGTCTTTCAAATGACAAAGTGGTCAAAATCTGATCCCAGGTCTTAGAAACTTGTAAAAAGAGCAGTTTATTGTCAGTATGTACCAGTACTATATGACTCATTAACATAGTGATAACAACAGCAATAATAATATTATTAAATACAATAAAAAATATTGCCTTCCTGATTGCTCTGCTCGGAGTTCAGTAAAGGCAATATTTAATAATGATAATATTATTGTTTTAATTTATACTTTATAATTTGAAGTTTCAGTCTTGTTTGGAGTTGTGCTTTCCAGTATCAGAAGCAACCATATTCTGCAACGATAAGAACACAGGTATGTATTATCTGTTTGGTAACCAAAGTCATCAATCCAGTGTGAGACACTTGATTTGAATTTCTGATATTATTTTTGCTCATTTTAGAGGCTTATGCAAACCTTGTCATGAATGTTTGGAAATGAGTTTTACTTCATGATCATTCTACTGTAAATCAAGCTTATTTTATGAGGGTGGTTTAGCACCAGGACTTGCTGTTTAAACAGAAGAAATCGTGAACTTGAAAATGCCTAAAGACTTCCAAATAGTTTGTTATAAAATAACATTTTTTTGAGTCTTTTGTGATGTTTCTTTTTTTACGTTTACTTCTGTTAGGAAACAAACAAGTACATATTGAATATCACAAATTATGGATTATCAGGACCCAGTAACACAAACACAGAGACCGTAGAGATTGAGTTAACCCCTCCTGAAGAGGTATGGTGTTGTCATGGGCAATCACAATGCTTTAGCTTCTGAGCTGCAAATCTGTGGTATAAAATTAGTTTTCATGGCATATTTATCATCATATCAAACCAGTGAATTAGAACAATTTCATGCAGTTTAAATCAACTAAGAGTTCAGTTGCTCTTATCTGTACCTCAAGCAACTCCTATGCCTCTCTAAATGCTCTTGTGCTCTGGTACATTGTTTTGAGTAGGGAAAAGGCCTGGGATGAAATAAAACTGCACTCATGAAGAACATGAGATTCAAAGTGACATTCTGTCAATATGTTGCTGCCATGGTTCATTCTTTAAACAGAAATTTGGTTTTACAGTCGAACCTTGATTATCCGGACCTCGATTATCCGGACTATTCGATTATCCGGACTTTTTTCTCTGGTCCCAATTTTTTCATGAATATCAATTAACTGTGATCTTGAAAACCCAAAGTTGCAAAAAGCCCAATAATCCTTTCAAAAGACTGTTGAAACAGCGTATTATCCTGTGCGCTTTTCAAAATTTGCAAGTGCGACGAGACAAAGA